TTGTCGCAGTTTTCCGTTTATTCTTACTTTGACTAAGGATAGAGGAAGTATGTTATGTTATAATAATGAGGTAGAAAATAAAAATTTTAAAATCACTTGAGTATAAAAAAATTATTACAAAATTTGTAGTCTACTGGTTATTTCAACCAGAGGTACTCTTTCACCTAAGGGGGATGGCGCTTGAACATCCCGTCTTTCTTCCTTCCAAGATTTTTTTTGCTCTTCTTTTCTTAAAAACAATGCAAGCGAAAGTAGAGTTAAAAACAAAACCGAAGATCATATACAATTTGTTTTTCTTGTTCTTCCCTATCTCATCTTTTAGACTACTGGATTTTCCCAGGCCGGAGTGTGAGGGCGGGGAATTTAAAATCCTCTCAGACACCGGTACGCAAACTCGTACTTTTTTTTAAAATCTCATAATTTCGGTTTTCCGGTTGCCGGGCAACTCGAGGTGTTGTTCACACGCGTTAGCTCATTCAGCCACCTCGCCTCCATCATATACAATTACTTGCGGTCTGTTCCATGTTTCCTCCTTGTTCCTCAGTTTGAAAATTTTCATCAATCATTCGTTTATAACATATTGTTAAAGGGGCAGTATAGGACGGACTTCAATGGAAGTCTTAAGCCAAAAAAAAAAACAAAAAACAATAGTAATAATTCTTGTATGGTTGTAAATTATTTTTAAGTCTATTTTAGATTCTTCTATGTATTAGCACGACCGAATGGTGTCCTTATCTAGATCTGGCAGCCATTGGATGAAAACCCTATTGTTTGGATGACGTGGTATTTATTTCAGTATTCATCATATTTGTATATGCATACTATATTAGTATAGTATGCATTGTTGGAATAGTGACAAGCTGCGATTTGTCCGATCACTGTTAATTTTCAGTCTTTTTAGCATGGCTAATTCTTTTCTTTTTATGTTAACAAATGAAAAGAATCATTTGTATTTATTTATTTTTTAATGTTTTTTCCCGCTGAACTTCTCCATTATAAATAAATCAAAAGGATAATTATTAGAGTTTTTATTTGTTTTAAAGATCGTTTTAACTATAAATTACTAAAAAGGAAATATTATAAGCAGTGCCTTAATAATAATCCTATGATTAAATCTATTGGAATTTTAATCTAATCTAATGTGATCTAAATTTAGACGAAAGACTGGTGTTTAAGGGTTAAAATTAGTCCACCCTCACTGAATCCAGTTTCGTAATTTCTCCCCAAGTTACAGCAATAATGCTATATTTTCCTCATCGTTTCTTTTTGCTGCAGTCTATTTTCGCCTCCTCCTACAAGATTGTCTTCCTACCACTTAAGGAAGAAAAAGTTGGTCAGAGGTTCAGTCAATAGATGTATTGTATATGTTATAGTTGTGTTAATTTGTTCAGCATGCACATCTAGGCTTTCGTATAGTAATGCTGTTAGAACCAAGGAAGGTTTGTCTTCCTATTAGTTCCTCCTGCATGCTTTTGTATTACATAATACACATAAAGATATTTCAGTTAAAGATTAGGTTTTCTTTTGATTTTATCAGCTTACTTTGCTTTATCTCATTCTGTTTCTGGAATAATTTGACATTTTTGACTATGAAAGTACTAACTGGACACTCAGACACACTTTTAGATACACCATTTTTTTTTTAAAACTAATTTATGTTTAATCCTATTTGCTCCAACATTCCTGTTCGCAATCCTCAGGCTGCTCATGATTTCTGCAAATCCTTTCAAAAAATATTCTTATTGCACTAGGATAAAAAGCACCAATAGTTGACAATGTACCAATATCTGACATCCTCCTTGAAAAATGGAAATAATAAAATTTCAGGAACTCCTAGACCTCCATTTCATATATTTTTGGTTTCTATATTTTCTCCTTCTATATTGGTGTGCTTTGCTTAAATAATGAGTGCCAAATTAGGAAGATCCCTCAGGGTCCACATACTGTCCCAGGAACAACTATCTGTCAGAGCACCATACCTTAGGTTTGCATTTTTCTCTTTAACTGCTCTTATTTAACCCACTTTTTTTTTTTTTTTTTTGGAGTGTTTTTAAATTATGTTTTATCTTTTTTTTCAACCAATCTTGGTGAAAAAATTGGATATTTAATGGTTGTCATCTACTGGGACCTTCATAATGAGGACTTTTGCGAGTAGTTGACAGACCCATACTCTCATAAATTCAAAAAGATATAATCAATATTAAAATTGGGACCATTAACCATTGTCTCGTTAAAAAAAAATTAAATATAAAGCAAACATAGGTTTTCCTATTGCCTAAAACATGTTCTTGACAGTGACCTGCATTTATTGATAAATTAAAGTCGGAAAACGCAAAAAGTTAGTTTCATAATAAATTAAAGGTAATTTTTGTTAATATTAAAATGAAGAATATAAAATTTCTCTTAATTACACCCTTTTTCTCATTCCTGTCAGCTATAGGAACATTATAAATCAAACAGTGTTAGCTACTGGTACAACAAAACTATTTTCTTAATTTTCAATTTTTTTAAAAATGTAGGTAACTTTTCATGAATTTGAAATTTGTATTAGTAAAGTGAGAAACAATTCTGTTAGATGAATCCATGAAAAATATAATAACATGAATATTTTAGTTTTTAAACGTAAAAATTGAAAGAAATTTCCTTAAGCATTTACCCTATTTTATAAACTTCTTATTTCATAAATGATCTTGAAACTTTCAGAAATAAATACCATAAAAACGGGCATAGTTTTTTGTGAATTGATAAAATTAATTCGAGAACGTTTAATATTATAATAGGCCTATTGTCAATATTTTTGCAAGTAATATAATAAATCTTATAATGTAATTTTATACATCTGAAATGTATATATCAGGAACTAATTTATACTTTTTTTAATAGAAATTATGACATTTTTATCATCTACGAGATTTAAACCCAACTAAAGCCCGCTTCGGCGTGTAGCTAGGAAGTAGGCAGTCTGTTCTTATGATGTGGTAGGAACCACTTAAGGGTTGAAAGTGGTCGGCTCATCTCAGCCCTATATCCTCTCTCTTCATAGACTCCATTATTATTATTTCTTTAGTATATAATGATAAAAGTATATTAATAATATTCACTAATCTTAATTTATATTTCACAAATTATATCGGATTAGATATACTATATGCCCGCGAGAACTGCAGTAAAACACATGATACAGATTTGAAACCGTTAGGAAAAAGTTTGACTTGCCACAAAGCCTAAAAGAAATCTTGAATGACAGGGATATAGCTTTAAGAAAAAAAAATGAATTTTTAGGAAGAATAAATTTCTATTACAGAGTGTAAATAAAATGTGTTGGCAATGACTCTACAGGATAGAAGTGTCGAAATAAATAAATATATATATCATATATAATTATATTCATATAAATATAATAAACGAAGTAGATGGTCCGGGGTAGCGATCATAAATAGGCTGAATAGTTTCAAAACTATTTTTTTTAAAGCAAACGTTTCGACCCGACTTTGCAGGTCTTCTTCAGGCCTAGAACAGACAAGTTACAAAAATATAGTTATTCACTTTGTTTATAATATTATGTAACTTCCACTATTCTCATTCTTTTTCTATCTTGTCCGTTCTAGCCCTGAAGAAGACCTGCAAAGTCGGGTCGAAACGTTGGCTTTTAATAAAATAGTTTTGCCACTATTTAGTCTATTTATGACCGCCACCCCGGACCATCTCCTTCCTCTATAATGCAACTGTCAGCTATTAAATATTAAATATAATAAACACATAAATGATAACTAAGAGTGCTCTTCTATTTTAATGGGTAGGTTACATCACTATTATTAGAAATCTACAATAATAATTCATTTAGTTGAAATAAATTGGAATTCAACGTATTGAATTAGATCAACGGATGGGTTTAATTAAATATAAATTGCAAAGCAGAAATCAAGACTCGCATGGAACAGAACTTAGTAGTACATTTGTCTTTTGATTTAATTTTTCATCATTTTCTTTTTTAAAAAAAAAGAGGAAGAAAAAAGGGCATTATCCGGAAAAGAAAAGAAACACAAAGTCACAACACTTCCACATCACATCCACTTACATACTAGAAGAAAGGTCTACCCTGGGTTGTTCCAGTGTGCGAGTGGATGTCATGAAGTGATGTAGTTTTTGTTTCTTTTCTGTCCTGATGATGGCTGAATTGGTGAAACGTTGACGGGATATTTCATTATTTATTTATATTTTAGAGACAAAATGTGTAGTTACAGTTCTCCAATTATAAAATAAAAAAATATATTTTTTTAAATTCGCAATTGGAATGCAAATATACTTATCAAAGTTAAGAAATTATATTTAATATTCGTAGATGCGGTCGTTATTTCATTTTGCTTTCGTGGATCTTCAGGACGTTTGTGAAAATGTTTCCAAAACTCTTATCAGTCGGATTATTCATATCAGCGAATCCTCCGATAGTGGTGCCGATGATGGCTCACTATGATAACAACACATTTCCTGTCGGAATCAATGACCTGTCATTGATAAACTTGAAATCTCAAGGAAAACGGGAGTACCTCTTGGCAAGAATCTGCAACAGTCTGCTTAGTCACGAACCAGTCTCAGGTCATCTTATCGCGGAGAATCCGATAGGCTAGTAGGATCGTCAAAGTGGTTAGCAACTTGAAGAAAATAAGAATTGGAAGGTAATTCTAACTTTGATACTCTTTTGCCGAAAATTAAGTTTGGGTCTTAAAACATGACTAAGGAAGAAGCCAACTCTGCGTATTTCTTATTTATTTAGGTTACCGCCGTTGCTGATCCGCCATTGAAAGAGGAAGTGGGGTGTAAAAAATACAAAACATGAGCTGTGACTTTGATTGTTGCCGAGGATGGCATAAGTGGAAGCCTTTATATAGAAGATTCCTCTGGTAAACAGGGAAGTGATGTGTGGGGGAGGGGAGGGCAGATAAATTCAACTGCTGTAGAGAAAACAGGGCAGACAAACCAACTACAATAAAAATCCCCGACTATCGACTGGCGGGGGCGGCGCCGGGCTGGGCGGCTCCGCGGGCGCCGCGACGTCCCGGCTCCGGATCTGTCGCAGCATCCCTCCCGGCCCCCGCCCCGTCCAACCCCATCCGCCTCCTGGATAATAGATATAATTAATAGCCAGCATCCCTCTATAGCATTAATTACTTTATCAGGATGGCAGAGGCCATGTCTCTCCCCTGGCCCTCCTGTAATGTATTTATCTTTAATACTTATAATTTCGCTCGATTCATTCAGGAGGGCGTCCTCTTTATTTTTTTTTTTCAATGGTTTCGTAATTATGTTCATACAAGGTATTTTGTCCTTTCTTTCGACTTGATCTGCAAGGTTAGATTTCGTGTGCAACTTCAACTAGTATATTTTCGCCTGAGAAAGATGTTGACATATTAGATGTAATGAAATGAAAATAGATTTGTATTATCCTGGAACTTTTGTCCCTTCAGGATTAATTATAGATACCGAGAAAATGCCTGTGTGGCCATAAAATTAAATTAAATATTTACAATGCTCATTAAAATAAAAATATTGGAAGAAAAATGTATGCTGTATTTATTTATTGTTTTTGATTTTGTTTTATTTTTCTTCCAATATTTTCATTTTAATGAGTAAATATTGTAAATATTCAATTTAATTTTATGGCCACACAGGCATTTTCTCTATATCTATAATTTGTATCTATCCATTTTCTCTGTATATATATATATATATATAACAAAATCATTTCTGGGGGAACTTATCAAGTTCTCTGATCTACTTTTCATGATCAATCGGGTTGGGAAAGAAGTAGGTGCTTAAAAAGGAGAGATTTAAATGAGGAAACTGATTGCGCATGTCGGATATCGGGAGGGATGGTATTCCAGATGGAGACGGATTGAATTATAAAGGATTTGTCAAACGCAGTAGTTCGGTGAGGAGGTGGATAGAGGTCAGAAGTATGGGATCTAGTTGGACGGGATTGAATAAAATATTTAAATTGTAGGCTGTGAAAAATATAGGAAGGCCGCTGAGTTCTGATGGCTTGGTATAGAAAGGTAGCAAGGAAGTACAGACGGCGGTTGGATGGATAGAGCCACTTCAACTCGCTGTAATACTGGGTTATATGCGTATCTCTTGAGATTCCGAATACAAAACGTATTATAACGTATGGAAGTTGTTTGTTATGGAGACTATTGACGTGACTTCAAATAAACAAAACGTTTTGGACCTCACAATGGTTAAACCATTGTCGTAGCAATCCGAGTTGCTTTGCTGAGTTGCTGCCGTTTCTCGGATATCGCTTTGAGAGATTGTTTTGTTCTCATGGAAGCTCCCAGAATAAACCTCGACTTCCTGTTCGGGCTACAATAGTTCGACAGTTCGATAGACTCGTACTATATATTTTGGTTGAAATTTTATCTACTTTTTACACAGATTAATGTAAACTTTAATAATTTCCTTTTTATGTTATTTTACATCTCCATTGGAATTAATATTGATTTTATTCATTTGTGGGTGCTGGCTTTCTAGGCTACCTACGGAATTCAATTAATGTTATAATAAATTGGAGAAATAAATAAATGAACATATCAATCATCACCATAATATTTAATGAAAAGATACTTGCAAATATTCAGGAAAAGTGGCCAATTTTATTAAACGCCTATCGGTTAGATAAAGAAGTCAGTAAGTGTAGTTTTGATTCATTTCCCGTCCCTCCACACATGGAAATGGAACATTGATTCATGATCTTATTCAACCTATTTTCGTACATTATACAGTCATTGTCGTGTGCAACTGTTGTCACTGTGGCGTCAAACCCGACTGAAATGTCAGTCAGTGGTTTAGCCTATTTAGTATAAATAGGTCAACCTTTGTTCTAGTATTAAACATTTCTACATTTGACTGCGTCTTTAGTGAATTTGATCCATTAATAAAAATATATCTCTTTGATTGCTGGATGATATTCAGCATGATATACATTTCCGAAGTGTTTACAAATAAGTAACAATTCATCATCATTTGCTGACTCTGATATACTATTTTTAAAAAATATTGCTTATGACTATAATATTTTAAAATGTGGTGTTATAAACACAACTTTTTCGGGTTTTGTACAGTATCTATAAACCAATCGGGTTGGAACTTGGATTTTTTCAATTAATCTTTTCGTTCCGTTAAAATTTTTATTTAATGGAATTTTTATTCATTTATTGAAATTTATCTTAGAATAGTTACTTAAAACAAATTGGTAAATAACTTATCTCAAAATGAATAAATATAACCTAAGTGATTACACAGAATCAATATCCTGTGCCCCGAAGGTAAACTAAAAGGTCATCATGTCCATCTTTTTATTAAATAATTTAGTAGCTTTAATTTATTTATAACACATTTCTTTATTTAGTAATATTACATTTTGTTACATGTAAGGACATAAGTAATAGTGGTAGACTAACCCATTCACACTCTATGTACAATAAATAGAAATAAATCAAACAGCAAAATAATAATAATAAAAGTAAATGTATATAAAAAAAAAAAACTAAAATTACCGAAATAATAACTTATATACAGACATACTGATTTAGTAACTAAAAACCAAATTTCAAAAGCTGAAAGTTATTTAACATTGTCTTCCTTGAACAAATACAAAGATGGGCATAGTGTTTATTAATTATCTACGGGATACAGATTAATTGTGATTATTTTTCAAATAAAAAATTCTTCAATTTTCAATTAAGCCAGCTCATGCGCATGTGTTACATTTTACTGAAAGTTAAGGAATCTTACCGTATTGTAACTTTACCTATCGTTTTGCAGTTATTTTTTGTAATTAAAAAAATTCACTTCAGTTATTCTTAGTTCTGTGGTTTTAGCATGTTTCTTATTTAATTTATTTATTTATTTGTAATAATCATTTAATCCATTTATTTTTACTTTTTGATTTTTATTTATCTGATTTTTTCTTAGTGCACTATTATATATTTATATTACCTTTATCTCGTGTGTACTTTCCATCTTTTTTTATTTACATGTCCCATCTTTTCTACATGTCTCCTTTTTTTTTAGTGTAATTTTTAGTTCTGATGATGCTTGGGCCGAAACATTGGCTAGCCTAACAAGTCATATACTAACTGCATTTCCTGATTGTTTGTCATCCTCGTTGTATGACTTTCTGTTTACCAATCAACTGTAAATGATTTAATAAATAAATACCCTATAGATGGGTGGGTTTGACACGTTCGATGTCGGATAGGTAGCTACGAGGTAAGCGTAGTAAGCGCCATGGGTAGGAGCTTGGGTACGTGCGGGTATTGATTGCTAAGTGATTAAGTGCCGCCAACTCCCTCTCCGCTCTACTCTGCCCCTCCTCATTCTTCGGCATATTTCCTTTGCGATAACACTTACCGAATTCTTTTGTACGGGTAAAATTACCTATTTTTAAATATCTATTAATTTAGATCTTTTGTTTTATAAAGAAAAATACAAAAACAAGGACTCAATATTGAAATAGAAGGAACTCATAGTATTTACAATAGTTCAATAACCCGAGTGAAATGGTTACAATATTAAATACATTAATCTCGTTCAGGATTCACTTATCCTCAACACTTAAGTAATCAGCAGCACAAAATAGTATTTTAAAAATAAATGAAAACATAATACATTTCTTATCACCCATAGTAGTTGTAAAAATACTTGTACCCTGAGTCACTTTTTTTCAGTGCTCCATGATTATTATATTTGAATTATATTTGACATACTCTGAAGATACTATGTTAATTTTATATTATTTTATCACCAGATTTTAACTATGAAAAAAAAAATCATTTTTTAAAAATAATAAATGACCCAAGGTATAATTACTATAGTTATACCTTATGCAATATTTGTTGCAATTGTTATTATAATTATTATTCAATACTAAGTATCACTTATATAAACTGGTAAGCTAACTTTTTCATGTTATCTGTTGAAAGTCCACAATATATTTCGCTTGCAGTCAGTAAATAATCTTTTATAAACTTCCTCAATAAAAACCACGAATCAAGTATTTATTCTCACAAGAGATATATTTTGAAATTATAATTATGTACCTAGTGTTGCCCAAATGCGAGACCAAGACGAGTCTTGGTCTTGCAAACTCAGTCTTGATCATTGTCTTGGTCTTGCGCAAGAGTCTCGCAACAATCTTGCAGTAACTTATAAGCTTATTGCTATACTACTGTAATTTTTTAGATAGAAGAAACCTAATTAAACCCGAATGAAAAATTAGATGAGTTAAATGCAAAAGTATATTGGTTATACCAATTATTAACATATAGTAATTAAGATTGTCAAGTATTAATAACTATTTTGTCTTAATTTGTATTTTAAAAATCGATTTTTTTTTACTATTCCCGGTTTTGGTCTTGCAACAGTTAGGCGGCCTTGGTCTTGGTCTTCCAAAGTGCAGGACCAAGACCGATTTTGGGAAACACTAAGTGAACCTTGGTCTGTCCTAGTCCATTATAAGCGATTCGTGTATACAGTAGTAGTACAGTGTATTCAGTAGTAAGAATGGTGGAGAATGAATAACTTACGTAAAAAGGACAAAAAAATCAGTTTTGTGAGAGGACGAATTCAACAATATATATTTATTGTTTGTTTAACTGCGGATACGTTAAACACACAATATATATTTATTGTATGTTTAACTACAGATACGTTAAATACATGGTTTTAAATTAAATTAGTCCATGTTTAATGAAAGATAAATAAAGAGATAGGAAGCTTTGTTTTACATACATTTTACTTGTTAACAAATAACACTTTGATTGGCATAGTATACCGCCTGCTAAGAGTTGCTCTCAAAATAAAATAAAAACAATAAACTTCAAAAATATAAAACAAACTTTTGTTGTTCAAATCATGATATAACATGATATATATATATATAATGTAAATAATTTTTAAATTGACAAAACAATAAGAAATAAATACTGTTTGTGGAATACGTTTAATTTTTTCCTATTTTTTCATCGCTTATTTTTCTCTATTTGTGTATATATAACTGAAGAATGTTAAGTACTGTATTCCTGAATTAAGAACATTCTATATTTATAAGCAGATATATTGTATGATATTTAAATTAACCGTTTGAGCCTTTGCCATTGAGTTTAATTTAGTGCGGTTTATTTTTTTTTCCCTTAAATAACTTGATTATATATTCCTTTAAAATCGGACGAACTGCGGCGTACATCCTCAAACATGTTCAAATTACAAAGCCTACACAATATTTGTTGCTCACTCCTCATTACGCTGTTGTTTCCAGTCACTTATTGTCCACGCAATTTAAAAATATAGGTTTAATCCTTCATATTATTTCTAAAAGGTGTTTTTTTTTTGTCGGTACGCCATAACTTCGTCAACTCTTCATCAAATCCAATCATTGACCTCTCATTTTGAACTTCTCCTTCACATGCGAAAAATAGTCCTATACCCCTGAAATTTCTGGGGAAAAGTTATGAAGGAAAAAAAACTTTATTTGCGAATAACTCAAAAAGTATGCATTTCTTTCTCGATTGTATCCATGATAATTAGAAAGATTACTAAATTACCTATAAAGCAAAAACAAAAATCGGACAATTATTAACAAAGATTAAGCCCATTAGTTTTGGTATACTTAATAATATCTTCCGATTTAAAGATATTGCATTTAGGAATAGAATAGTCTACTTCATTTTCTTCCTGGCTGATGTATTAACTTTATTATTTCTTAAAGACATTCGGTTGTTTTGGTTATTCTTAAAGACATTTGGTTGTTTTTACATTTTATTTTTTGTAATAATTTAGAATATTATTTTGTCTACTTTTATTATCTTTCCAGTCAGCGTTTAAAAAAAGGTCCTAGCAAAGCAATTTGTACGTATATTTTGGTCTATTATGTTAAATGGAATATTGTAATCGACTAAGGAAAAAAATATTAATTCCTTCCTTACATAATACATAGGAACTACTTATTTCCATATTGTTTTGATATTTCTTCACTAAACAAAATTTTCTGCGAATTTTTCGCACGGACCAACTAGTAAAACTTATTTGATTTAAAATTAGTTCATGTATGTATATATTTTAAAAATGTTTAAACTAAATTAAAGTGTTCAATTGTTTTGTAAAAACATGTGCTGTAAATGCTCATCAGCTTATACAGATCATATTAAAATTTAATAAGTTTCCCATGCCATTCCTTCTATATAAGTTATAAATGAAGAAAATATTTGGTAAAAAATATATAAGTCGCCTAAGATGCGCGCCTGACTAGAAATAAGAGACCATCCTCCTAAGGAAAGACGGAGCTGGCCTACTTAGTTGAGATCCTAGTACAGATTCCTGGAGCTTAGGGCAACCTTCCATTTATAAGTCTTCCTGTCGGCCATGAGGGTAAAGCCGTAGTATCTGACCTTGTTTAGGAATACGTAAAGTTTAGTCAGGGAATCGTGTTACTGAAACGTAAGTAAGATGGTTTGAATCCAGTTCCAGGCGTTTGTTCTCTTTATAACGTTATTATATCTAGGTACCGCGTTACACACAAATCCAGGTTCCGTTAGTATTCATTACTTCCATCCTTCCTTTTGTTAACATTCAAATTTGTTGGTGACATCATTCCTTCGTCTTAGTGATAAGAATCCGGATTTTACCTTCGCGTCGTACCGTCCTTTCCAAAAACTTGTCCGTGACCCGAAAAGACCTTTATAAATTATGATTTCATGTCAGAGCCATTGGTTGGATGTGCTAAGATTGGTTCCATGAATTTCGATGGATTCAATATTTGCGCGTTTTATGTTTTAGACATCAAGAAAGAAATTTGGCTCCATTTATCTGTCGCTCGTCAAATCCATGCGATGGACATGTTGACTACTACAGTTTCCTATGCGATTTTCAGTAATTCTGCTGGTTGATATTTAGTTAATCCCTTAACAACATAAATTAGATAAATTATTTTCGATTCCGTACTGGTATATTTATACGATTATTCTTAGGAACACTTATATTTCAAAAACGGCTCATTTGTATTTCATCCAGTTTTTTTCTTACTTATGAGAAAAAGTTTTACCCTGAGACCCCTATGTCTCAAAAATCCTTTGTCTTCACGTTAGGCTTCCCGTATCATTGTTTTTCATTTTGATGGATCTACCGGAACCCTTTAAGGATCATTTGGAAGACTTGCTACTCTTTTTATTAAAAATAAAATTATATTTGAACTTCAATATTTGTATGTCTCTGCTTTCGAATCAGTCTACTTATAGATTCGTTGTCTGCTATGCATTTATTCCGTTGCTTAGCTGTTGATGACTTATCATGCCTTTGTAATCTTGAATGGGTGACCACTAACCTACATTAACCAACCGAAATTCCTCAGTTGATTACGATGTTTAAAAAATCGGATTTTATTTAAACCTCTCGATATATTTAAGTAGGTGGATTATGATAGTATCCGAAAGATTACGCATTCTTTCCGTGATAAAAATTCAAGTGAAAATTAAAGAGTTTTATACAAATTTCGTTATTTGTACTAGTTTTAATTGTTTCATTGAGCGTTTTAATTAATCGTACATATTCAAAATATAGAATTTTGCTCGCAAAATAAAGGAGTAATGCCGATAATATCAAACATCAACTAATATTTTCTTCTGTTCCCGTTTTTTAAATTAAATCCAAACTTTTAACCTACCTCCGTCTCGACCCACTCCCTAAGGCAAGCCCAATGCAGTTTAGCATTCATTACCCTTTTGGAGAATCTTTCATTATTCAGAACACGAATATACCACACCCTTTTCGATTTCTCCAGCTTTATTCATAAATTGATTTGTAAATAAATTAAAAAGGAAGGAGATGGTCCGGGGTGACGGTCATTAATAGGCTAAATAAATAGTGGCAAAACTATTTTATTAAAAGTCAACGTTTCGATCCGACTTTGCAGGTCTTCTTCAGGGATGTGCGTTCATCTGGGAACTTCAGTTCTACGCAAAACTCCCTGCTGAACACACCTCCCTGAAGAAGATCTGCTAAGTCGGATAGAAATGTTGGTTTTTAATAAAATAGTTTTGCCACTATTTATGACCGCCACCCCGGACCATCTTCTTCCTTTATAATGCAACGGTCAACTATTCAATATTCAGTAAATAAATTAAATTTCATCCTAGTCCTGTTGTTCCAGACTGTATTAATTTCATGTTCAATTGAGGATAATGTGATAAAAAAAAAATACTCACAAAAAGAAAACCAAGGTTTGTGATTTAAACAACGCGATAGAAGTGAAAACATCAACAAGGTGAGTTTAATAATATGAATTATAAATGATAACTCGTTACAAATGATGAATATTTCCCTCGCTAACAATAT